ATCTAAAGCCACCTTTTTTTCTGATTGCTAGTAAATCTGGAGCACACAGTTTGTATTAATGATGATCTGGATTGCAGAGCTCAACGGGGCTTCCAGCTGTTGAAAATGATTTTGGCCCAACAAAAGGAGATGAATGGAATAGTAAGAAAGGCATCCTGGGAGATTCTGAGGTGGACCTCAAGTTCCAGAATGCACTGAGGTAGCAGTGGAACATTGCACAATGAGGATTTTGTCTTGAATGTCAAGTGGTTGTTTAAAAGAAGTTAACTGGGATGTGGATTATTGACTCTCAAAGGAAATTGATTAAGCTAATATAAACAAAACAGTGTGGATGTTCTTCTGTTACACCAATGTTGTTGTAGTACAGAAATTTATGCTGAAAAAACTCTCATGTAGACAAGCCACAACAAATTCTTCTACATACAAATTCTGCTTTATTCAGGAAAACCAAGCCAATGATCAAAACTGTACTTATAAAATATTAAAATAGAAATCTTCAATATAACCTGTGGTAACAATTTGAATATATTATAGTAATATATTTTGTAATTATGAATTCTGGACTAGCAGTTTTGAGGTATGAAGCTTGTGGATATTTTATTTTTCATTTACTAAACTCAGTGCAGAAAGGTGTTGGACTACAAACAGGATTTAACAATCAACTTCAGTGTTATTTCCTTTCTAGATCTGTCATAGCTCCTACAATTGTGTACTTATATCAGATATATTAGACTTTTTTAACAAGATTACCCCTTTTCACTCTTTAGTTTTTCTGTTACTGCATAAGTGAAATGATTGCTGTACATGGATAATGACAAAGCCACCACTTTAAACAGTAGTGCGATCTCTTCAGGAGCATGTGTGGTGGGAAAGGATGGTTTAGTACATTGAGCATGGAACTAGAATTCAGGGTTTAGTTCAGTTCCTGACCTAGTTAGGATTTCTCATGGGACTTTAGTTATTTCATTTACCCTGTGTCTCAGATCCTTAGATGGAAAACATAATAGTCTCCCTAAAATTTAGTTAGGACTTGAGAAGTTTAGATACAGTGATGATTAGGGATATGTGAGTTGATCGACAGATGTTTGGCCCAGACTGTTGTAGTGTGTACTTAAAAAAAAGTCACGCAGAATTTAATGAAATTATAATCTTTCCAGAACAGACATATATGTGCTGTGAAATTCCACAGGATTATTTAAAAACTCATAGAAAAAATATAATTTAATATTGAATTCTACAGATTTGGGTAACAATATGTGTTGATTTATAAAGAACATTTCATCCCTATTAAATTTTACAGTGCTTTTCCATAAGAAAGGTAAGACCCAGTTTTATTATGTTTGACTTCTGTGGGTTGAGGATATGAGTCTCACATATGAACCAACCTTACAGAATAAAGTAGGGCTTTGCATTCCATAGTTTCAGACATTGTATGGAATAAAATTCCCAAGCAACTTTGATACCAAATATTCCATTAACTTCAATATCTGTCTGTGAAGTGCCAATAGACTGTTAAGAAATTGTTAGGTTTTTTTTCCAAGTCATGGTCTCACAATCTTGGTGGAAGCAGGGAATCCAAGAATGGTGTGACGCTGTGGTTGACTGTGGGCATTCTACTTTGACCTTGGAAAATTTCTTTGCTATTTTAGTATTCCAAAACTGCATCTCTTTATCTGTGCAAATGCACATATACACATACATATACATATATAAACACATGCAGTTAGAAGTAATATGTAATGCTGGTGGGAGTTTCTTGAATAAGCATAATCCCTAGTTATTGTGGATATAGATATCACAGCATGAAGAGAGAAAGACAGTTTAATCTTACTCCACAAATACTTTGGATTTCAGTCTCTTAAGAAAAATCTGGAGGGCACAGATAGCCAATTAAAACACAGCTTGCTGTTTTATCAAAACAAGATAGCTTGGTCCCAAATGAGCCATGTCATATAGAATTTTCTGCTTAAAAATTGATGGCACATTATTTGGACCTGGATGATAATTACTCCTACTAAAAAGCACGCCTTAATTTATAGCAATAGGATCAAAGGATCATAAGAAAATAGGGCTGAAAGGGGCCTCCTGAGAATAAGATTCCATTTTTGCTGTACCTACATGCAATCCCTAGAAATTTGCCAGAACATTAAATATAACTTATATAGAAATTGTATTGCACTTATTATACTGGGGGGAACATTTTTAAAACACTTGAACTAAATATGGAGTAGTCAAATTGCAGGAAAGGCAATGTATCACAGAGAAACAATAATTTCCTATAAGAAAATAGTATCATGAAAGAATTCAGTTTCCGCAAGTGTGGGTAAGACTAGATAAGGTGACATTCTGGGTTTCAAGGCATGCAGGTTATGGCTCCTAGCAGTCTAAAAACAGGTGATAAATCGATTTCATTTTATATTTTCCAGTTCCTTGTGGAAAAAAGTTTCTCATTAATCATAACAACAGCACAGCCAGATCTTCTGTAGTGGTTTTCATCAGGAGATCTCAAAGCACTTCGTAAATGAGGTCACTGTCATTTTCCACATTTTATTTTATTCCACATTGCAGGCCACTCCGCACTGTAGCATCTTCATGCCCCAGCCAGCCCCTCCACAGCATGTTGAGCTGGGCAGAAGCAGCCATGAGGTGGCAGGCTGACCCCCCGCCTCCTCTTCCAGCCAGGGCTGCACCACCTCAAGCCATCATGCTGCAGTCCTGGATGCCCATGTAAATGCTGCGTGCAGGCGTAATAAACTCCGATGTGAACTACACCAGAATTAATTTACATGTAGATGCTCTCTGTGGGTAAGGTACTTGATTAGAAGGTAAAACTGTGACAGTAACAGTGCTAATGTTGAATGAAATGAGAAATAAATGATGGAAAATAAATTTAAAATGATTCAGTTTGATCTAAGTTACCATAAGAAATAGGGGTTTATAAAAAAAAGAGTATTTAACTTAACACTGTCATGTCCTGTTTTGGGTTTTAAAGTGCATATCTTTCCAAGTAATTGGAAATCTCTTTTGTTTTTAATTTTTTTTCATGTTTACATGAAAATTATTTTCAGCATTTCTCAAACTAAAATGCATACTTCAAACCTACAAGCAAAAGATGAATGTTCTGAAGACCACAAGATGGTGCTGTGCAGTGATATTTGAATCATATTAGTGTACAAGTCATCTGCTTATTAAAGTCTTATAAAATAGGTGTTTAGAAGGTGGCAGTTGGTGATACAGACCAAAAAGCTTTTCTTTTCTTTTTTTTGGGGGGGCAGGGGCGGGCGGGTGAG